AATTTAGATTAAGGCGTGAAATAGGTAAACATTGGTTTGGAAATAGAGTAGTGGATAAGTGGAACAAGTTACCAAATATCATCATTAACTCGAATACGCTGGATAGCTTCAAACATAGGTTGGATGGATATATGAGCAATAGGGGTTGGGTGTAAATGGGTCTGCCCAGTATGGGCCAATAGGCCCACTGCAGTTGCCTCCATTCTTATGTTCTTACGTTGTGTAGTTCTGTCGTAATGGACCGTCGAATCTTATTTACCTTGTTGTTATCCACTTCACCTGTTGCTTTCTGAGCTATTTTGTGATCGGTGATGGCTGCCGTGAGCTTGACTGTATTTTGATATTCGGTGGTAGCAATCTCCTCTGGATTGGTCAATCCTATTCCTCCCAGTCTCGGTGGTAGTGGAAGGAGTGACCTTTCTGCTGGGGTTAAGTGGATGTGTTTCACAATTTTTTTAATGAAATCGACGGTAATGGCTTCTTTCGGAGGGTGGAGGAGGGGTCCGATATCAGGGATAGTGCGCATCAGGTAGTTCCAGCGATGCTTGACTCCGTGGGTGAATGCCGCAAAAGCCGGATATGGCTCTGTTTTAGCAATATCCGACAGAGCTTGGATTTCCCTGACCCACTCATTTACCTTTCCCGTTACGTACTCGGTCTTGAAGTCCTTCGTGCCGATTATTGCACCTAGGTGTCTTTGGCCATCCTTTGTTATTTTGACCTCACTTCCACCGAACACCTCCAGTGCCCGTTCATAATGTTCTGGTTTCACAATGAGGAAGAACTTGCTGGCATTTGAATGGTACCCTATTTGTGGACCACGTGATGTTATCAGATGTATTACCACACACTACAGTAGTACTACCAGAAACTTCGGTAGTACTACCACACATTATAGTAGTACTACCACACACTATAGTAGCACTTTTTTTCTTTTCTTTTTGTATTATTTTTATAGTGGCCTCCAGCCTCCCCCAATAACCACACCTATGCCGCCATTTTATTACCTTAAAATTAAATAACTTAATACATAAGTAGCTACCCTAGCTGTGATGAGTTAGATGAGCCGCAGATCTATGCGGCATTCAGTGACTGTTGTCTCATAGTCAATATCTGCAACTGTTGTCGGCCTTGGGGCCGATGCTTTCGTTCCCCTGAGGCAGAGCAAAACGACCTAAGGAGAGTGAAAGACAGTCGACAGCTCATCCAGGCTGTAACATAACTATAGTAGTACTACTACACAATATAGTAATACTAATAGTACTACCACACACTACGGTAGTACTATTGCACACGATAGTAGTACTACCACAAACTTCAGTAGTACTACCACACATTATAGTAGGACTACCACATACTTCGGTAGTAGTAGTAGTAGTTGTAGTAGAGGACACACGCAAGGACTAAGTGCAAAGAAAAAGTGTGGTCAATGAAAAAAAGATTGACAATGTGGCAGAAAGGAGCTCTTGTTGATCCCCTACGAGAGGTAAGAATACTGCAGGAGAGACTAAAAGTCATTGGAGACGGAAAGCAAAACACCGATGATATTACCAGAAAGTTGGGTAAAAAGATGCGGGTGGGAAAATTGTCCTTGGCGGTAAGATCTCTCACAGAGGAATCTTTTGGTGGTGTTCTGACAATAAACAATGAGACATTAGAACAACTGAAGGAAAAACATCCCCCTGCAAGTGAAGAGGAAGGCATCAGGTTCCAGGGAGCCTATATCCCTCCAAATGCTGTCATGTTCGAGAAAATAAGGAAGGATGGTGTGGAAAAAAGCACTGAGGACACAGGGAGGGGCTGGCCCTTCAGGCCAGGATACAGACGTTTGGAGAGTCATCCACAGCACTAACAAGTTTGGTGAACCAGCAAGTGATCTCTGCAATGCCACCGCCGCCCTTGAAAGAGAGCTAGCAACCTCGTGCTACCATCACCTTCATGCTCCGAGTGCCTGCCACCACATTCCCCTGGATAAAAATCCAGGATGTAGGCCTATAGGGGTGGGGGAAGTGCTGAGACGGATCATTGGAAAATGCATAATGGAGGATGCAAATGATGATGTCAAGGCAGCTGCAGGGAACCTAAAGTATGTGCTGACCACCAGGTTGACAGGGGGTGGGGGGAGAAGCTGCCATTCACTCCATGAGAAAGATATTAAAGAAGAGTGATTGTGAGGCAGTACTCCTGGTTGACGCTTCCAACGCATTCAACATACTCAATCGCAAGGCTTCACTGCGCAACATCAAGATCAAGTGTCCAAGCTTTGCAATGCATGTTGAAAACACCTATAGGAACTCATCAGACCTCTACATAACAAGCTTCAAGGACCTAAGAGGAGATACATCATACATAGTCAGCTGAGGGAACAACGCAGGTGGACCCTGCTGCCATGGCACTAGGCCTATCCGTGCTCTAACACACAATAAAATTTTAAACAACCGCTTTCGACCTTAGAGGAGCAGGAAAAGTGAAGGACATCAAAAAGTGGTGGCACCTGATAATATCACGTGGTCCACAAATAGGGTACCACCTAAATGTCAGCAAGCTCCTCCTCATTGTGAAGCCAGAACATAATGAACGGGCAAAGGAGTGATTCAAAATAACAAAGGAGAGCCAAAGACACCTAGGCGCGGTAATCGGCACGTAGGACTTCAAGACCGAGTACGTAACGGGAAAGGTAAATGGGTGGGTGAAGGAAATCCAAGCTCTGTCTGATATTTCTAAAACAGATCCACATGCGGCTTTTGCGGTATTCACCCGTGGAGTCAAGCAACGCTGGAATTACCTGATGCGCAGTATCCCTGATATCAGATCCCCCCTTTACCATCTGGAAGAAGCCATAAGCGTCAATTTTATTCCAAAATTAGTGAGACACCTTCACTTAACCCCAGCAGAAAGACCATTCTTTGCACTATCACCAAGACTAGAGTGGTACTACCACACACCAGTAATATTACCACACACTACAATAATACTACCATACACCATAGTAGTATTACCACACACTTTGGAAGTACTACCACATAACACAGTAATACTACCATACAACACAGTAGTACTATCACACACTATAGTAGTACTAGCACAAAACACAGTAATACTATCATACATCACAGTAGTACTATCACACACTATAGTAGTACTAGCACACAACACAGTAATACTATCATACAACACAGCAGTACTATCACACACCTTAGTAGTACTAGCACACAACACAGTAATACTATCATACAACACAGCAGTACTATCACATACTATAGTACAGTAGTAGTACCAAACAGTACAGAAATACTTACAACACAGTATTATTACTACGCACTATTACCACACACTTTAGTAGCACTATCACACACCATAGTAGTACTACCACACTATCCAGTAGTTAAGAACATTAGAACATAAGAATGGAGGAAACTGCAGCGGGCCTATTGACCCATACCGGACAGTCCCGTTTACACCCAACCCTTTCGCTCATATATCCATCCAACCTATGTTTGAAGCTATCCAGCGTATTAGAGTTTATGATGATATTTGGTAACTTGTTCCACTCATCCGCTACTCTATTTCCAAACCAATGTTTACCTATTTCGTGCCTAATGATGATATTTGGTAACTTGTTCCAATCATCCACAATCAATGTTCCCTATCTCGTACCTATATCTGAATCTGTCTAATTTAAAACCATTGTTGCGAGTTCGCTCCTGGTTGGATAGTTTGAGTACCTTTTTAATGTCACCTTAGCTTAGCCCTGACTTCCATTTATAAACCTATATCACATCGCCCCTCAACCTACGTCTCTCGAGGGAGTGCAAATTAAGATGCTTTAACCTGTCTCTGTACTCAAGGCTCCTAATGCCCGGAATTAGTCTTGTCATTCTCCTCTGAATTCCTTCTAGGGATTCTATATCCATTCTGTAGTTAGGTGACCAGAATTGAACTGCGTAATCCAAGTGAATTCTCACAAGTGCAAGATATAGTTTTAGGATGAACTCGCTAATCTTGTAACTAACACTCCTTTGTATGAACCCAAAGTACTTACTTAGTTAGCATTGTTACAGCAAATACACATTGTTTACTTGATTTAAGATTCTTACTTATCATTACCCCTAAATCTTCCTCACAGTCGAATTTCTCTATAACCAATTTATACTGCCAGACTGGGGTCACTAAATCTAAGGGGATAACTTAACTCTAATCTTAATTCCTAAGGGTCGCTGCCACCAGACCCCCTCTGGACAGCATGTAGCTCGTTAGGTAGCGGGCAGAGTGGACTAGGCATTGGGTTAGGTTTTCCATTGATCAGATCGATAAGGGTAAAGAAGGGTGAAACCATAACATGTCTTCATTGATTTATTTCTTATAAAACACACTGGTAAAAAAAACACATACAACCACACTGTGGACCATAATTCCAAGGCCTGTCCCAGGGTATAGCACTGGCGCCTCTAACAACTGTTGTTGTGGTCGGTTACACTCCGACCCGAGATGGGTTTGGGGGCCTCGGCCCACGAGGTAGAGTAGAGCCGATTAATCATGACGAATCAGCGCCATCATTCCTATATTGACCACTGCTGGGTATCCACCGGCTCCGAGCGACCGGTGGGTTTCAATTAAGCCCACCCTCGATCTGGAGACAAACGGGAATCAGCGTCAGGGAACCGAGAAACATGACAACACCAACAAACTCTCTTGCCTAGACGACAGACGTATTTACGTTATATTACTTCTACACTGGGTGAATGACAATTCAACTGTTAAATCATGAACACTGGTGAACACTGATAATCACTACAATTGACTGAATTAACTGAATGGCTAGGAAACACAGAACATACCTGGAGACAAACGGGAATCAGCGTCAGGGAACGCTGATTCCTCGCTATCTCGAGTTTATATACCCCTGAGTTGCCAGTGATCGCTACTCACACAATGACAATAATTACAAACAAACTAACTGCTACTCATTCAAAGATGACCCTCAGTTGACAAAGGTCTGGCGAATTACTTGGGTTGATTTACACAGACTAATTCAAGATTGAGCTTCCCAGGAGAAAGTGGAATAAACAACGTATTGATAACTGTCTTCACAAAGGCGGGGCTTACTGGGAGGGATCGCGAGGATAAACACGCTCCTGAGATTCTACAAGCGCGGTGGATTTGAATATTATGTAGCGTAATATGAATTAAAACGGGTTTTTAGGGATGACAATGAGGTGCGCAGTACATAGCCTTCCCCTTCCAAAGATTCATATTATGCGGAATAATAGGCAAAAGCACTAACGCGGTAGTGCACATACATTCGACATGTCTTAACAGTTCGTGATTACAGTACCTTAATACATAAAACAAAACTTAAGGAGACAAACGTTTCATACTCGAGTCTCCGCTACCTATACCTGCAACAACTTATCAATTCTTATTTCCGTACAATATAGTATTGGGAACATTCCCCTAACAGTTCATCAGCATAATACCTCAACATATTTTGGCACTAACACATAAACAGTGACTCTGACATTACAGATACAACAAAGTACTCTGCATGAAATTACATATACTCAGGAATGTAAATTCTTGTCTCTGAATGGGAAATTAGTTACATCAGACACTTCCTCAGATTACTACTTCATTTCAATAATAATTCACCTTTTCAACACAAAACCATGGTTCTAGACATACACATTGGGGTTCATAACACAAGACACGTATTTCCTATCTCACAGTTCAGAAGAACTGGTATTTGAAAGTCGGGGTGACTCCCTCACCCGGAGTGAGTCAACAACCCCCCGCAAAAACTTCCTACACACATAAACTGAGATTTTTTCCTTCAACAACATAGGCAGCAACTGGATCTCCGGACTTCAGTTCATAAGAACTGGGATTTATAATGTTGGGGTGACTTCAGTACGACTAACGAAGTCAACAACCCACAAAAAAAATTCTGACACACATAACTGAGATTTTTCCTTTCGACAACATAGGCAGCAACTGGATTTCCGGACTTCAGTTCATAAGAACTGGAATTTATAATGTTGGGGTGACTTCAGTACGACTGACGAAGTCAACAACCCAAAAAAAAAATCTGAGACACATAACTGAGTCACGCTCACAAAAAAAATCAGTGGTAATATGGTAATACTTTACGAGACTGTCCCTTCGGTACTCAACAAGTATTGAATGACTTTTCAATTGCCATGATTTTAACACTTATCACTTCACAATGTACTCTGTTGTACTCACACTTGGGAGTCCTTACATGTATTTTCTACAATAAATTTTCAAAGATTGCATTCTTTCACAGATGTCCATATCACCACAGAGTCCTCAACCCCTCAAAGCAATTGCTGAAGTTATACATGTATTAGCTCTCATCTAAACATAAAACACACTTACTGGCCATGCCAGTCAGTCTACACTGCTAGAACTAATGCCCTTTGCACTAAAAATCATACTAATAGAAACAATACAAAAAATACAAAATACTCAGGTACCTGACACAACACAGGTTATACAAATAAATTCACTTGCCCAATTCTGACCTCAACTTATAAGTAAAACACTTCCAATTAAAATTAAAACTACACCCATATTATGTCAATTACAAATAACACTGTTACATAACATTAATATAATTATGGCCTTCCGGTACACTCAGAAATCGACACTGTCCACAACACTCGTAACACGGCACATGATCACTGTCCCTCATTGTCTGTAAATAACAAAGTATTAACTCAGGTGATCACAACAATTGCTATGGTACCAGTGCAGAAAGGCACCCAAAAAAAATTTACCTTGGCATACAACCAACACTTTTCTGAGATTTCACAAAAGACTGCAAAAAAAAAATTAGGTAGCTAACCTCTGTTTTCAGACATTTTCAGACACTTTTCAATACATTTTGCTGTACACTTTACTTTAAAACAGATTTCTAATTTTCTCGAGGCCCATGTTCTAACCTAACTCCAAATAAAGTATTTGCCGTGAACTGTTTTCAACATCTCCGTAACCTCAAAAAAACATTTTGCACAGAATTACACTACACTGTACACTGGAAAAAATTTCCATTACAAGATTATTAGCACTCTGAAATATTCATTAGCCACAGTGACATGTTTAGGTAGATGCGCGGAGAAATGGTTATTACAGCTCACATTTAAACACAAAAATTACCCACAGTATCACATTTATTCCTCCTGATCTGATATCATGTAAATTACATCGCCTCCGTGCCACCTGTGTAAGGGGGCGGTTTTTTTCCAACACCTACACCACTCTTACCTTACTTCTCTATTATTGTTCTTTTTCTGCAACTTAAATCACAGCTTCAATTCCCTCGGATTTGACATAAGTTATGAAGTTGACAGACGTAAACAATAAACCGACAGTCTACATATAGTTTGAGAATGTAACAATTGGAGAATGACATACCACCAACAGTTATGTTATATTGTCATTCGATATGTGTTATGTCATTCAGTTATGAAATTTGTCAAATAGTTATGTAACAATGTCTCAACGGATATGTCAAAAGGTGTAGTTCCCTGTAACCTTTCATTTTGTGTACCCACTCCCACTGCAGTCTCCTCGATCCCTGTGCTAATATGTTCCCCCAGCAGTTTAAAGACTTCGACATCTTTTGAACTGCCCTCTCGAGAGATCCAGCTAGGGTTGCCACCCCATCCCTAGCATAAAGGTCCCTTCTGCCGTAAAAGTTATCCCAATTGTCAATGAATGGAACTGATATTGACTTGCAATATCTGTCAAGACGGCCGTTGACACCAACTGCCCTTGACAACCATTCATTGCCAACTCTTCTTCTTGGCAGGACACCACATATAATACGTTCTATAGCTTGCTTGAACTTGTCAAGGAGCTTCTCACTCCTACACCGGCCAATAGCACTATCACACACTATAGTGGTACTACCACATTATAGCAGTCCTACTACACACTGCCATAGTACTTCAGTAGTAGTACACCTTTTCACATATCCGTTGAGACATTGTAACAACTATTTGACAATTTTCATAACCGAATGACTGAACACATATCGAATGACAATCTAACGTAACTGTTGGTGGTATGTCATTCTCCATTTGTTACATTCTCAAACTATATGTAGACTGTCGGTTTATTGTTCACGTCTGTCAACTTCATAACTTATGTCAATCACTTCCGTTAGCATGAACGAACAGTTATTTTAGATTGTCATTCGATTTGTGTTCTGTCATTCGGTTATGAAATTTGTCAAATAGTTATGTAACAATGTCTCAACGGATATGTGAAAAGGTGTAGTAATCGATTATTTTAGCAGACAGACGAGGTCCCCTCACCAGGTGTATTAGGTGTTTACAGGAACCGTTTGTAACAAGACTGGGCACCGTGCAAATGTTCATTCAACCGAGCTTTAGTATTTCATTTATCTTATCTATATTCTGCAATTTCATGGAATAATAACTATTAAATGCTGATATATGATAATTTTCGAGAGAACAAGTAAATGATTACAAAATTTACTGTAAGTAAAATCTTCGTCTTTTTGGCCGTAATGTTGCGTGACGTCACTCAGCGAGGGGAGTTTACATAGCTAACTTGTTCATAATGTTCGTGTTCCCTTTATGATATTTTTTTTACTAATGCGTTTCGCATGCTAATTTTTCCATTCTCAAGTGAGGAAATCATCTGAGATTAACAGAGAAGGCTTATTACACCTTAAAGTATCTGAACATAAATACGTCGCCTTATTACAAATTGACCCTAGGCCTCATTTGCAAAGATCGAGTCAAAAGACTATAGTAACCAGTTGGATTTATCCCCCATCACTAGTTTTAGGGGGAATATTAAGGTAACAACTGCCTTTACGAGTCCGTGACAGGCCTAGAGAGTAAGTGATTATTTCCGCAGACCACAACCGACTAGGGCTGCGTGTGCTGGCAGCCACCTACGGCTACTACATACAAACGGACATCATCACGCCCCTTATGACCTGGTCCTCCTTCTGCATCACCTTCGATACCAACTCTTCCCCCGTCATCTATTTCAACGGTAACAAGTGGCGGGTGAGTGTAGTGGAAAATAACTGTCTCAGAAATTCATATCAAGTGAGTATCTTATGAACTATTGGTATGTGTTAATAGGAAATTTATTTTTTTTATTGTTTGGTGTCCTCTAGAGTAATGGATGAAAGGTAAGATAGTTAGAGTAATTGCATGAGCCACCAGCGGAGTTTTGGTTTTCTTGAGATTAAGGAAGCAGCGCTTAGCTAAAATGAGGGAAGCACCATGAAGTGCATCCATCACCAGCTTCAGAGACCTCTTCACCTGACGAGTTTCCAAGAGAGTCAGTGGACAGTCGAAGCAACTGGGGTTATCAGTTTGTACACCAAGCCACGGACTCAACTTGCCAGTTTTTCCTACATCTTGGGCAATCATAGATTTGCTTGAGTATTTAATATCTACAGTACAGTATACCGATCCTGAACGATGATAATATCGCTCATGTCATCGACGAAGTTTCAGTTTCTTAGTATATATAAATATAGGATTCATGGGGATTGATTAAATCCAAGAAACCAGAAGAGGAAAAGGTTGAAGATGACACTGATTCTTATTCTTCAAAGCTGGTCTTCACAGCAATAAGGCGCTCCACAGCCACATATGGTATCATCGTGTTCGACAAGAGCGACTGCACCATGAAATTTGTGTCAGAGTGGACTACTGCTTCACTAGTGATCCTCTGCTATAAATACGAGTATATGTGAGGTTGCCTCAGGTTAATATAAATAAAGGTCAAAGGGAGCAAGGATCTTTGTGTGGTAGGAGTTTAGAAATACTCAGTGTTAAGTTAACATAATTAACATAACATAACCATTTTCGGAGACATGTTCTGTTTGGTAGCTAACTTCGTATTTGTTCTTGCCGGAAAGACCTGTGACGATACCAGTTAAGCACCTATATATTCCTTGTAAATGTAGACTGGTTGAGGCTGAGGAAGACGTTTTACATAGATATACTTATCGCAGAATTGAAGATGCACTAGACATCGAGCATTTATTTCTCTCAAATGAGACTGCAAGGAGAGGTTGTATAGCGTCTCGTATTTTGGGTGAGATAACAGTGTCCCCCCCCCCCGATCTATTCATATTTGTGATTTGCAACAGTAACATTTTTTTTTTTAGTTTAAAGATGATGGTAAAGTTAGGCAAATGACCTCTGATCACCGAAGTAAAATCGATGCCCCCAAACGATTTTCCATGGTTAATAACCCTAATTTCGCCGTCAAGATCATGTTTCCAACTGATATAATGCATATTTAAATATTTATATAGATGTGCTAATATACTGTAGAGGTAACGGGAAATGTTTGAAAGTAGATGTAGTGTTACATGCCTGGGCACCAACGAACTAAATGAAACACAAGACAGAGTGTGAAAAACTTCAACAATTGTCAGTGATCGTGAAGAGAAAGGTAGAGGTAGTACAGGGGGTGGGCGCCTCAAAATGACTAATAACTTTACCAATAAGAGCAATGGGATTTAGCCTTAACCAATAAGGATTTACAGACGTCATTGCTCTGAGGTACAGTTCTTCAGTGGAAGACATACCCGTTCGTTCTGTACACAACAGACAGGCTTGGGACAAACGGTAGTTCCTCTCTCTCGCTCTTTCTGTAAAGTCATATCAAGTTTATCCATATTTTTATTGTTTTCACTCTGACAAAGAATCACAAATATTTCACAATTTTCTAATAAACCCTTGTGGGCCCCCAGGCCCTGATGTGGGTCAGTGACCTGTGCCCGGGTGGGCTAATCCCCATAAAAAAAACAATAATAATATGGTTCCTGTGCCCGCGAACTACAGGTTGGGGTCTACTGCTATGCAGTATGAGATATAACTTTGTAAATGACCTTATAGTGAGTTTTGTCAAACCTAACCAAGCCAGTAGAAAGACATACGTTTCAGTAACTTTGAGGTATTATTTTTGAAATGTGAGGTTGCATTTCGCCTCAGGGGCTCTTCTTGATACTGCGCATATTACCATGACCACTGTCTATATGTGTTATCAGTTCTCTGGTATGGAAGCTTTGGTCTTGGTGGGAGGTGTAATGATTGCTTATCAGAACAAAGCATGCAACCCAGAGAAGAAAAACACATACAGGGTATAGCAACAACTAGATGCGCAGATGTACACCCACGTAAGTTGACCCACCCTACAGCAATTATAGTGAGATTAAGACCTGACACAAAAGAGGTCACGGTCACAATGAAACTGAGTTCTCATCGCAGCGTGATTAGTCAAACCGGCATCATCACCTTGTTAATTCAAGAAACTACCCTCCAGCCAGCACCACGCACCTGATCAAACACACAGCTGGCCAAACACACCCAGATTAGTGTCGACATCTTGCCTTGACCTCCCAAGTGTATGCGGTGTAACCTTGGGGCGAGATGGTGTAGCCACAGAAATCAACCATGTTCCTTCCAAACATGAACTTTTCACTATACAGGGTGATGCCAAACCGGTCACAACGTTGTATGATGGAGATAACGTGGGTGAAATGGTCTTTGTACGAGGTGTCGTACGCCAAGATGTCGTCCACGATCTTGATCGTTCGAGGGATGTCCCCGAGAGCTTGATCGCCGCGTCGATTGTACTCGTCGCCGGACGAAACTAGCCCCATGACAGCCAGATTAAACTTGAAACGGTCCCAGGGCGTATAAAGCACGTGAGGTTCTGGTCCTCGTCCGCAATCTTTACCTGGAAGTATCCCATTTTGGCGTCCATGGTGGTGATCCAACATGCCTCCGATCCAATGGAAGCTACAGCGTCATGAGGGGGCCACACAGGGTACTGTGGCCTTCGGACGTAACGATTAAGGCGCGTGAGGTCTACACACAGCCTCACTCCAGATGGTTTCTTCGCTACCGAGATGATAGGGTGGCACCAGGCTGACGGGTAGTCCACCCCGACTATGGTGTTCTTAGCAAGCAGGTCATCCAGCTGTGCTTTGATCTCCGCCCGCCAGCTGTAGGGAATCGTGCGGGATGCTGTAACAGCAAAAGGACGAGCATCGTCGGTGAGTTGGATACGCAAGGGGCCTCCATCCATTTCCCGCAGCGTCTGCGAAGCACCGAAGACCATCGGAAAGGCTTCAACTATAGTGGCGGCGTGCTCTGCGCGCTGTTTTGGCGTGGGGTCATGTCTGTGCGGAGTAGGCGATGACGCCCGAATCGCTCCGGGTGGGTCACGGCTGCTTCGACCCGCCGTCAACTTACTCTGTTTAACCGGCTGGATCGGAGCAGGAAAATCCTATGGCAGGATACCAAGGGCAATGGAGTCGTACCAGCTTAATAGGGCTCCCTTCACCTCCTTGACGACTAATACTACCGTCTTGGTGCGTTTGTTTCCAAGCTCCAGGTGTGACGGAAAGGTTCCCAAGCAGGTGAGCGGATGGTGACCCGCTGCGAAGAGACCTGCACTGTCTGTGGGGTCCAGAGTGGACTGAGAAATACCCAGGGACTTAACCAGGTCGAGCCCCATGACCGTCGCCTCGGTCCCGGAGTCGGGTGTAAACCCCCGCCAGGAGCCGGTGAATGGCTCTATCATCATGTTTAGCCCCCGGGCCTCGTTTCGAGAACTACTTCGGAAGATGCTTCGAAGCCATGACACGTGAGATTCGAGCGGGTTTCTGATACACAACAGCAAAATGGCCTTGTTTGCCGCAGTTCAAACAGTCTTTATCCACAGCCTTGCACCCTTGCGTGTCCCTAAGACAGTCTTTGCCACACCTAAAGCATAAACCGGTCTTATCGTGTACACTGGCACTCCGGTACCGAGACACTTTGGCCAACATACAACTCGCGTAGCCTCGAATCACTGCACTGCTCACATTAGCATTTTCTGAAGCTCGGCATATGTTGATAGCACTTTGCAATTTCAGGTCTTTCTCCTTAAGCATACGTTTCAATGCATCATCACTAGTACCAACAACAAGACTCACAAAAGTCACAGAAATTTGCTATTTCTTTCACAGCACACAGAAAGTGGTCAAACGTTTAACCAGGTTCTTGAACTCTTGAGTAGAAGTCCTTCCGGTCCACGATGACGTTACGCTGTCTCACAGGATAATATACATGATCACAAAACCTCGTGCTATGTCATCTATCTACTCACATCCAACTTCATTCACACCGCTAGGTGGCATCACTCATGCACACGTCAATCACGCCACTAGAGGACAGCACTCGTGCACACACTCGCTCACGCCACAGTGGTTCACACGCTCAGCTCGTTCGCATTATATAAACACCACACAGAGTTAGCCCGACTGCATACCGAGGCAGACAAGCGCCAACGCCAGAAAGACCTGACCGAGCTCAGTTCCTACCTGACCTAGCTTGGAGAAGTACGTGCCCCTCAGTGCTAGTGTTAGTGAACAGAGGAAATGGCCGCCGTGGATCGTTGTGTTGTGGGGGAAGAGGGACGGTGTGTGAAGAACCTGGCTACTTTGTCAAGTCAGCTGGAGCAGTTGAGGAGAGAGATGGACGTGTTAAAGGGTGAGAACGAAACCCTCAGGACTGAACTCCTTCATGTAGGTGTCCTGCCTGGCAGGACACCTGCGAAGGAGGAACATAAGAACATAAGAAAATAAGGAGTCTGCAATAGGCCGGTTGGCCTGTGCATGGCAGCTCCTCTCGAGAGTTACTACCACTCTCTAGCCTCCTTTTAAAACTTTCCAGCGTTCCAGCACTTACTACAAAGTTGCAAAGCGTTTTACAGAGTACCACATCAGAGGCTTCTGAGAAAAGTTAAGGCTCATGGTATCGAGGGGAAAGTTTTAAATTGGATAAAATCATGGCTCACCGATAGAACACAGAGGGTCAGCATAGATGGTGTTAAATCTGAGTGGGGCTGTGTAACCAGTGGGGTTCCCCAGGGATCAGTACTGGGCCCACTCTTGTTCATAATCTACATAAACGATGTAGATACTGGGATCAGCAGTGACATCAGCAAGTTTGCGGATGACACCAAAATAGGGCGGCAGATTAATTCAGGGCAG